GCAGGGACATTTGAACACCACTACTTAAACCAAACCCACAGGGGTTTTCCAGGGACTGCAATGAATTATCCTGTAGGTATGCCCAGGCACCGGGAGCCCCATGCCAGTAACAGACAGTATGAGTTTTCGATCTGGAAGATCCTGTGTAATGAATTTACTCAGTTTCTATCATCGAGCTACAGAGATTTTACAGGAAAGAGATGGTTGGGTTGACTGCATCTATCTGGACTTGGACCTAAAATGACTTTCAACAGAGTTCCACATAAGAGGTTGCTCTGGAAACTGGAACATACTGGAGGGGGTGACAGGTAAGCTTCTAACATCGATGAAAAATTTTCTGATAGAAAAATGAGGGCAGTAATCAGAGGCAATGTATCAGATTGGAGAAATGTTACAAGTGGAGTACCACAGGGTTCAGTTTTTGGCCCGGTAATGTTCATTATCTACATAAACGATATACCAGTGGGAATACAGAATTACATGAACATGTTTGCTGATGATGCTAAGATAATAGGGAAGGTAAGAAACGTAGATGATTGCCATACCCTTCAAGAAGACCTGGACAAAATAAGTATATGTAGCAACACTTGGCAAATGGAATTTAATGTGAATAAATGCCATGTTATGGAATGTGGAATAGGGGGGGCATAGACCCCATACAACCTATAAATTATGTGAGAAATCTTTAAAGAATTCTGATAAAGAAAGAGATCTAGGCGTATTTCTAGACAAGACTATCACCTGAGGACCACATTAAGAACATTGTGTGAGGAGCCTATGCTACACTTTCTAACTTCAGAATTGCTTTTAAATACATGGATGGAGAAATACTAAAGAAATTGTTCACAACTTTTATTAGACAAAAGCTGGAATATGCAGCGGTTGTATAGTGCCCATATCTTAAGAAGCACATCAACAAACTGGAAAAGGTGCAACGACATGCCACTAAGTGGCTCCCAGAACTGAAGGACAAGAGCTACGAGAAGAGGTTAGAGGCATTAAATATGCAAAAACTAGAAGATAGAAGATAAAGAGGCGATATGATCACTACGTTCAAAATAATAACAGGAATCGATAAAATTGATAGGGAAGAATTCCTGAGACCTAGAACTTCAAGACCAAGAGGTCATAGATATAAACTAACGAAACAAAGCTGCCGGAGAAATTTACGAAAATTCACTTTTGTAAACAGAGTTATAGACAGTTGGAACAAGTTAAATGAGAAGGTGGTGGAGGCCAAAACCATCAGTAATTTCAAAACATTATATGACAAAGAGTGCTGGCAAGACGGGACACCACAAGCATAGCTCTCATCCTGTAACTACACTTAGGTAATTACAGTGTCAAAGTCTAGCCAGCCTACGGTCAATCCTCAAGTCCATGATAGTCGTAAGTCAACCGCCTTGGTTCAATTTTATCCAACATGTTCTGGGCTGATATTCAGGATCTGGGTTTTAGATTTTAACAGGGTCCTCTACTTGTGGTCCAGTATTTGGTTAACCCCTTAACTGCTCGGCTTCCAAATATGACACCCTTCCCCAGTGCGCAGGAAATAAATTCTCTGGAAAAAATTCTTTTGTTTTTTTTAAGTGTCAAAAACCCTTCCCTCAGTATGGGTATGTCAAAAAAATTTCGACATTGTACGTACTTTGGCTGCTATAGGGTCCGTAAGTTGGCGCGTGACGTCATCATTCCCCGTTCGCCCGTGACGTACGCTCCCAGGGCTAGTAGGGCACCCGAGGCGTGGCATGCGAGTTACCGCGAATATATTTTTCATTTTTTGCGCACAGTTCCAAATACATTTTATTTGTTTTTACGTGCTAATCCTATGTATAATGAACACGTACACTATATTATGGCAGTAAAACATCCGTACTGTCCGAAGACAGTGTGTTATGTGCATGACACTTGTGTGCACATATGTTGCACATATTTTCCATGTATCATGCTAATTTATGTATGTATACAATCTATTTACACACTATACACTGTCACACAGTATATACATTCACCATCAACACACACAGAACTCCTCGAGTGTGAGTAGCCACACCCAGCCAGCCAGTCCTCACTTATTCCTCCAACATCGTACTCGCCATCACCGCTCCTCCCTCCATACTGTTATTCACACCAATGTTTCAGGTTCATTTATGTATATTTACAACACATTTACACACTATGCTGTCACACACCATAAACACACTCAGAACTCTGCGAGTGTGAGCTGCCACACCCATCCAGCCAGTCCTCCCTTTCTCCTCCAACATCGTACTCGCCATCACCCCTCCTCCCACCATACTCTTACTGTTTTTATTACACTATTTACATATGTTATGTATACCTATCTACATGTTTTATTCACCAGAACTATGCAAGTAAGCCGGTATTGTGTCCAAACAGTACAGTTGCCACCATACACTGCATGAGAAATCACACAGCAGACAGCAGACGATGCTACAATTACGACGTCACCTCCCTCGCCAAAATAGCTCCTCTCAACATACTCCTGTTGCTGGTATTACACTATATACACACACTGTATATACCAATGTACATGTGTGTTCCCCATAGCGAACCACTAAGTTAGTATGGTGAGCAAAACAAGAGTGGGTGCCACACACACACAGTGAGGCTACTTAAATTCTCTCCCTCCCTCCCTCCCTCACCAAAATTCCTCCTTCCACAATACTACGCACAATGCTAATTATAACCACAATCCTGTTATTATCACAATCCTGGTCACTAATTCCTGTAAATGAATAACTGACCACACGTTTATTTTGAAAAGGAACCTAAGAAGTCATTTAACACTATCAGTCACTCTGGACCGGACTCGCGTCCATTATTTTTCTCCCGAGTCCTAACTTTGGATCGGACTTGCGTCCACTACAAAAATATTTGTATAAAATTCATTTTTTATCCAATCGACCTTGGGATAGTATCATAATAAGCGCCTTTAGAATGCGCACAATTTGATACCAAAATGAAAGATGCAACATGAAACTTGATGTCCGAACACTTATATGATTATAAATAGGTTTTTGGTCAAAATTTTAAAATATTTGTTAAAATTCCAGTTATTGCTCTATTATTATGGGACTATTTTTAAAATACGCGCCTTTTTATTGGAAACAACTTGGTACCAAAATGAAAGACATAACACGAAAATTTATGTAATCAAACTGAATGAGTATACACATTAGGTTGCAGTATACAAATTGGTGCTCGTTCACGGGTAACTTTAGGCTTTTCTGCGGGGATCCACTCCAGGCTTTTGTACAGTATATTCAAACACATCCGTAGGGAATTTAATTGCGAACACAATGATACCAAAACGAGCGACGTAGCATGAGAATTGTGGTGAGAAAAATGGAACGAGTATACACATTTAGGCGTCGCCGCACGCTCGCCCGCATCATTGAGGCCATGACGTCAAAGTCTGTGGCGCGCTCGTGGGGTGCGTGATAGGGTTAAAGATTCCTAGATGGACGAAATAATGCAGTGGTGCTGTGGCTAGTGCTGTGAACATTGTGAACAGCATTGAATCACTGATATTTGAACATTGTACCCAGTCATTATCACACTCAGGCTCTTCTATAATACTATCATGGCTATATAATACAAGTTATATATATATTTTGACATTATTAGGCAATGCTGTGGTCACACGCTGAACAGCAGTGCTGTGCGCTCATGCTGTGAGTGCCAGCCTTAGTTGGTCACTCACTACTGAGGCTCACACACCCGGGAATGTGGACCACGATTTTTTTTAAAGATGGCGTCTGTTTACAAGAGCCCTGAGGAAGCTGATATGAACCCCATGTAGCCAAGGGAGTTTTGAAGGTTATGTGAAAAATAAAAATGCCCAGAGGCCCGTTGCGCAAACCAGACGTGGGCCTGCAGGCGCATTGCGCAGTTTAAGGGTTAATGTTCCTGGTCCCAGTTAGTCTTATCTTGCTTTGGACCATGTGTCCTGGCCTTGTTTCCTCTTTCATCTAAGTGCCTGCCACCTCTGCTCCTCCCTGGTAAGAAACTTGTCTTTTCCACAGTTAGTTTGCTTCCTCCAGAAACCCAGCAATGATTGTAATGAATTGCCTCTTCCTGGTAGAGCCCCAGTAGCTTACTGCCTCTCTCCCTCCCATGTTCATTGGTTCATCAATGAGTTGTTCATTAGCTTGTGAGCTAACCTTGAGAGCCAGCTGTTGTTGAGGCTGGGTCACCTGGTGGTAGCTCTATGAATTAACAAATTCATTTGGTTGTCACTTACTCCACATTATTAATAAATTTGTACCTATTTACGTGTATTACATTTCATGATCATATAAATGAGGTTAATCAATATTATACTTAATCTCATATTTTATTCATCGGGATAGTTCGAGTGATTCTATTATTCCAAGTGATTCGTTTGCAGAGATGTTTAGCTGTTCGAGGCGTCCATTTCTGTGAATCCTTAAGTTATATGTAATACTTTGTTAACTTTCTGGATGCTTTCCTAGTGGAGTGGCAGATCGAAACTTGCTCCTTTTGTCTCTGTGAGGAAGGAGCCAAGATCTGGCTCTGGTCCATATTAGGCTAAACAAGAACTCTCATGACTGATTTAACAAATTAGTATGAAGCAATCTCAGTGTGATAGCTTCAAGGAGCCACCAAGGTTCTACGGGAAAGAGGCGTTCCATTACATTCAACACTAGGTTTTTGGAATATCACGGTTCTTCAAAATATGAAAACTTAGTCACATGCAAAAATCATACTTACTATACATAAATTAATAAACTTATTAAATTATAAGACTGACCTTCGGATCCAATGTGTCTGAAAATTTAAAGTGATTTCCACAGTTATACTATTTAAATCAAGAAGATGTATAGTCTATAATAATTTTTAAATTAATACACTGAGTGCACTCACATGGAGATTGCTAAGAAGGACAACCTGCAAAGCAAACTTTAAATATTAATACCCATTTCCATGAGATCATCCTTTGTGAGTTTCTTTACCTGGGTTAAATCTGAGGGCTGGGACTGACTGCGTGGTGGGGATGGCCTAAGGGCATCTGGATCTAAGTCTGGTGTTAAAGGCATGGAGGGACACTGTCTAGTGGAAACTCCTGCACCTCCTCGACCTGGCCCACTGGTAGCTCCGAGGGACCCGCTTACTTCCCGAAAGTCAAGGCCTTGATGTGTGGAATGACCTAACAAGTCCTCTACCCTGGAAAACACAATACCAAAAAGTAAATTTTTCAATCTTTTAAAATATTAGAGTGTAAAACAAGCATCGAGTGTAAATAAACACCAATTTTAAGTTGAGCCCAATGGCTTCCTGAAGCTACCACATCTCCAATGTAGGCACCATTTACTAGGTGTCATCAGTCGATGAGTTCTCTGACCTACAGGTGACCCAGCACCAGAAACTTGTGCCCTCAAAGAGGTGTAGGGAGCTGTGGGAGTTATTCATTTATGCCTTCGTAAATTTATGGCCTCTGTAAAGAAGTTCAGAATGTTCCCACACTGGTGTCCTCATATCCCTCAGGGAATAGGGTCTCACATACCAGGGGTAAAGTCTGCTCCAGTATCTCTCAACATCTTCACTGGAATGGGGTTGGCCCCTTTTATTTTCACAGTACCTTCACAAATAAAAGGATGGATCTTTCCACCCTTTCTAGTGGAGATCCGCTTAAAACATCCCTGGCTCCTTGGTCGTCCATTCTGACCAGTGCCACACTTCCGCGTTGCCTGGGGCGACCACACTCACGTGCGAAGTGTCCGCGCCCGCCTCAATTAAAACATCTGACTCTCCTGGGAGGCGACTCTCCACCTGTCACTCGGGCAACGCTTCCGGAAACCGCCATCCCCTGGGTCCTCTTTGCGCCCCGGTCGTTGTCTCCCTGGCAGCGTTCCTCACTCCAGCACCAGTCCCGGTGTTCCCCCCTTGGAGTCTCCTCACCGGTTCCCCTGAACTCTTGGACCGACTCACCTCACTGTGTAAACTACTCTTGGGAGAGTCTCCGCCCGTCCTCGCTCCTCCTGAACTCGAGAAGTTCCCCCCAAACCTTGATTGAGGCGAGTGCCTAGGCGGTCCCTCCTTCCCGAGATGTAGTGCCTCTTCCAGCAGGTTGGCTCTGTCTGCAGCAGCCTTAAGTTCTCTAATACCTGCCTCCTTGATCCTGACCCTTAGCTCTGGATGGAGCATTGACATGAATCTTTCCATCACCATCAACTGCTTCAGCTCCTCTATAGTCTCCACCTCTTCAGCCTTCAGCCAACGCAGGAACCTGCACTCCACGTCCCGAGCAGTTTCAGCATATGACCCTCCGGAAGCTCTTGTGCACTCATGGAAGCGTTTCCTGTAAACCTCCGGGGTTAGTTGATACAATTGGAGCACAGCTTTTTTGATCATGTTGTAAACGGCGCATTTCTCAAGGTCCAACATATTATAAGCTTCCCTGGCCTCGCCAGTCAACCTACTCTGCACTAACGCAGCCCAATCCTCTTCCGGCCATTCCTTCAATGTCGCTATCCTCTCAAAATGGTCGAAGAAAGGTTCGGCCCCTAGAGGGTCAAAGGTTGGTAGGTCGCGTTCCCGGACCTTGGGGTCATCCCGCCGAGCAGACACCGAGGGCAGTCCGCACTCCACCCGACGCATCTCAACCTCCTTCTTCGCTTTTATTTCTTCCTGCCATAGTTGTCTTTCTCCTTCCTCTCGTTGCAGTTGGGCTTCACGCTCCTCACGCTTCAGCTGAGCCTCACGCTCCTCCCGCTTCAGCTGAGCTTCGCGCTCCTCCCGCTTCATCTGGGCTTCGCGCTCACACTCCTCTCACTCCAGTTGGGCTTCATGCTCCTCTCGCTTCAGCTGAGCTTCGCGCTCCTCCCGCTTCAGCTGGGCTTTGTGCTCATGCTCCTCTCGCTCAAGCCGAGCTTTGCGCTCCTCACACTTCAGCCGAGCTTCAAGAGCATTTTCATTATCTCCAGCTTTATGCTTCTCTTGCTACTACCGCTGGATCCCCTACTGCTACCTTCGTCGCTCTGGTTCCCACCAACACTTAATGGGGTGGAGTCTAATGGGGTCAGCTGACTTCATATCCTAAGTGTAATTACCTAAGTGTAGTTACAGGATGAGAGCTACGCTTGTGGTGTCCTGTCTCTCCCAGCACACTATGTCATACAATGCTTTGAAATTACTGACGGTTTTGGCCTCCACTACCCTCTCACTTAACTTGTTCCAACCGTCTACCACTCTGTTTACAAAAGTGAATTTTCGTATTTTTCTCCGGCAGCTTTGTTTCGTTAGTTTAAATCTATGACCTCTTGTTCTTGAAGTTCCCGGTCTCGGGAACTCTTCCCTATCAATTTTATCAATTCCTGTTACAATTTTGAACGTAGTGATCATATCGCCTCTTTTTCTTCTATCTTCTAGTTTTTACTTATTTAACCCTTCCACTGCTCAGGGGTCCTGAGGACATTTACACCCCTGTGCAGAAGAAAAAAAAATACTAAAAAATTATTTTGTCTTCTTAAAATGTTAATTTGTGTTCCCTGAGCACGGGAAAAATAAAAAAAAATCGTAGGCGACATATTTTGGGCACAATTGACCGAGGAAGTCTGGCAAAAAGGGGGCGTTGACAGAGCGGTCATCAGAGCCGGTCAGCGTCACCCACGCAGACAGATGGGAGTTGCCACAAAGATATCACTTAACCCTTAACATGCTCGGGGTATAATATCCTTTCTTCCCCACAGGCGCATGTACAGTATCCACTCAATTTAACAGCCTATATGGGGCTGAGCCCTAGTCGTTATTTACGGAGCTCCGTTATTTCCGAAGTTAAGTCGGGTCGGGTAATTTTTCAAGTAACATTCAGGTAGGATATATTTTATACTGTATAACTAAAATTAAATAAAGTTCATTGTGTAATTGCATTCCAATTTAGTGCACGGCCGACGATTAAGCCAGTTGCTGGCTGCTGCATGGATGATGTGTGAACACGGTCTGATCAAGCCCAGATGGGTGGGAGAAAAAATTGATTCATTCCTTTGTATTGAAAAATATTTCATGTATCAATCAGTGAGTTAATATTGTCTTAATAAAATTTTAGAGATGTGTTTTGATTTACCCTGAACAGTGCAGGTAATGTATTTTTAATGTTACGACACAGGCTGTGGCGGCCATGCCATAACAATGGCGATCGAGCCTTGTCACTGAGAGCTAGCCAAGACGAAATATTTTGAGCTCACCTTTTCTCTGCTGATGATAGAATATACATTTGCAGAGACTAATATGTAGCTTTTGTTGAAAAAAAACAATTAATATCTTGAAATACTATAATGAAATTGGTAAATTGACTTACTTTTAATGAAGCATCACAGATTACGAAGCTGTGATGATTACATCATCCTCTGCAGCGCTTGTTTTATATTGTTTATATTGTATACAGGGTACATACTGTATGTACAGTACACTTATTTTCAGGCACTCACTTCACACAACAGCTAACCTTACTACTAATTCACATGAGTTCTAATTCTACTTCACTATTGACAATTATGTTGAATGTTAAACTCTGCTGCTGCTCGTGCATGAGAATATCCTTTATCAAGTTTCTTAATTAACTCCAGCTTCTGTGCAACCGTCAGGCGCTTCCTTTGGGTAACTTTTGGCATTTTGTAAATTAAAAAGATCACAATTACAGTACAGTAATATCCATCACAATTGAAGCTAGCCGCGCGAGTTCACGGTAAACAATGGGAACACATGGCCCGGCGGAGTACATACTAGGTCCGTGGGAAAAAAAATACCTAGTGCCTATACATACTATAAAAAGTATTTAATAAGAAAACAAAGACTTTTGCTTAATAAAAACTGTTTCAAAATATTTTATTAATAATAATTTACAATTTTCTTCATTAAAGTGAATCATTTTAAAAGAAAATTAAGATGTAATATATGACTCTGGACGATCCAGGTCGGTGGCGGCCTGGTCGCCATGTGAGGGGACGCTGGTGCCACAACAAACCCAATACAGGCCGTCGGTAATATCGACCGCAGACCGGTATAGCAGGCTCCAGATACTGGGCTCCCAAACCGGTCGTTAATACCGGCAGATCGGTATAAAAGAGGCCGTTAAATTGAGTGGATACTGTAATTTAAAAAAAAAATATTTTTTCTTCCTAACCTGTTAATTTGTGTTCACTGATCACGGGAAAAATAATAATAAAATCGTAAGTGGCATATATTGCCCGCTATAGGGCAGGGAAGTCTGGCAAATTATAGGCGCTGACTCGGCGTGCGTCCCAGGCGGTCTGTTGCTCGCCAGCTGTCAGGCCGGAGTTGCCACAAAGAGATAATTACCTAATTATTTCAATGTCTCTGATTTTTCATAGTTTTTTTGCTGTAATATTATTCAATAGTGTGTAGTTTGATATATTTATATAATAAAATGAGTGAATCATTGCTTTACTCAAAAATATGGTGTGCATATTGTTGATTCAATTATGTTCATCAATTAGTGAACAAATACTTTGTCGGTTATTACACTATATGAACAGGTTATATATAAGTATCTGCATGTTTTGTTCACTATAACGAACCACTAAGTAGCTATTATGAGTCAAAAAGTAACGAGGAGTGACCGCCGTGTACCAACCAGCCACTCCCGCCCTCCCTCAAGTCATCTGACTCGCCCACATTCTCCTCCCACAATACTGTTTTTGCTATAATTCACTATATACAGACGTTATATATAAGTATCTACATGTTTTGTTCACCATAACTGTACATCTAAGCTTGTATGGTGAGTAAAGGCACAAAGACGTAGGACCTCACACAGTCAGCTGATGGCTGCCGCCCTCAAGGCCAGACGCACTAATATTTCTCCTCCAACAATACTGTGTGGTGTTATTACGCTATATACACACATTATATATAAATATCTACCCGTTTTATTCACCATACTTGTACAAATAAACTGGTATGGTGCCCAAAGACCATCGTGGTAACCAGTAAACAACACCGTCGTCTGCACGGTGGCGTCGTGCAGACGATGCCACCGCCCTCACCAAAATGGCGGCTCCAAACCTTCTCTTGCTGTTTATACCCTCTATACACACGTTATATATAAGTATCTACATTTGTGTTCACCATAGCAAACCACTAAGCTGGTATGGTGAGTGCAGTCAATAAAAGGTGGCCACACACTCTCATCCTGTAACTACACTTAGGTAATTACACACAGTCAGAAGACATTGCCACCACCCTCCCTCTCACAGCATTACTCCTCCCTCCATGGCGCACAGCGCTAAATATCACCACAATCCTGCTATTATCAGAACCCTGGTCAGTTTTATCACAATCAGGGGTCTTTTGTAATAATATCATTGCTACATAATAGCATAAACAAGTATATTATGGCATTTTTAGGCGATGCTGTGGTCACAAGGTGAACAGCAGTGCTGTTAGCTCATGCTGCGTGCATCAGGCTTGGTTGCTCACTCAATACTGAGGGCAATAACACCCGGGAGTTTGGCCCACAATATTTTTTTAAAATGGCGTCTGTTTACAAGAGCCCTGATGAAGGTGTGGTGAACCCCGTGTATCCGCGGGCTGTTTAAATCTTGCGTAGTACTCCAACACGTCATGTGACGTGATGCGCAGTTGACTGGAACAACGTCCAATACGTCTTATGACGTGATGCGCACTTTAATGGTTAATTATTTCTATGTCTCTGATTGATTTTTTCTTAGTTTTTTTGCAGTAATATTATTCAATAGTGTGTATTGTAATATATTTATATAATAAAAGTGGTGAATAATCGCTATACTCAAAAGTATAGTGTGCATATTAGTGATTCAATTATTATGTTTATAAAACAATAAACAAATAGTTTTGCTGCTATTACACTCTATACACAGGTTATATATAAGTATCTGCATGTTTTGTTCACCATAACGAACCACTAAGTTGGTATTGAGAGTCGAAAAGCAACGAGGAGTTACCGCCACACACCAGCAATCACTCATTGCCACTCTCTCAACAATGCCTCACTCGCCCACTTTTCCACCATCCTGTTTTATACTTTATTCACAATATACAGACGTTATATATAAGAAACTACATGTTTTGTTCACCACAAGTGTACAACTAAGCAGATATAGTTAGTTTAGGCACTAAGAACCGTCGCTATACACAGTCAGCTATTGGCTGCCTCACTCACTCAAGGCCACATGCACTAAACTTTCTCCCCCAACAATACCGTTTGTGGTGTTATGACACTATATACAGACGTTATATATAAGTATGTATATGTTTTGTTCATCACAACTGTACAGCTAAGCTGATATAGCTAGTTCAGGCACTAAGAGTCGTCGCTATACACACAGCTGGAGGCTACCTCACTCACTCAAGGCCACATGCACTAAACTTTCTCCCCCAACAATACTGTTTCCAGTGTTATTACACTATATACACATATTATATATAAGTATCTACATGTTGTATGCACCGTAACTGTACACCTAAGCTTGTAGAGTGCCCAAAGAGCATAGTGGCCACCCTCTGCACAGCCAGACAAATCGTGCAGACGTCACCTCCGTCACCCAAATGGCTCCTCCCAACATAATCCTTTTGCTGTTACTACACTAATACACACATTATATATAAGTATCTACATTTGTGTTCACCATAGAGAACCACTGAGCTGGTATGGTGAATGCAGACAATAACAGGTGGCCACACAGTCAGTAAACGATGCTATCTCCCTCCGTCTCTCAGCATCACTCGTCCCACAGCATTAATTATTACAACAATCCTGCTATTATCACAACCCTGGTTATTTATAACACAGTCAGGGGTAATCTGTAATATTGTCATCGATAAATATTAGCAATTATATATTTATTTTGACATTTTTCGGCGATGCTGTGGTCACAAGTTGAACAGCAATGCTGTTCGCTCATGCTGCGTGCGCCAGCCTTGGTTGCTCCAACAGTACTCTGCCTCTCACACCTGAGAATATTGCCCACAATTTTTTTTTTAAAATGGCGTCTGTTTACAAGAGCCCTGAGGAAGCTAATGTGAACCCCGTGTAGCCGCGGGCCATTTGAATCAGGCCTGGCACCCTTGGGCGTATATATATGCCATGCGCACGGTGGGACATGTTACTGAGGGCTTATATATACGCCATGCGCAGTTTAAGGGTTAATGCCTCTAACCTCTCCTCGTAGCTCTTGTCCTTCAGTTCTGGGAGCCACTTAGTGGCATGTCGTTGCACCTTTTCTAGTTTGTTGATGTGCTTCTTAAGATATGGGCACTATACAACCGCTGCATATTCCAGCTTTGGTCTAATAAAAGTCGTGAACAATTTCTTTAGTATTTCTCCATCCATGTATTTAAAAGCAATTCTGAGGTTAGAAAGTGTAGCCCTTAACCTCAGAATTGCTTTTAATGTGGTCCTCAGGTGACAGTTTTTTATCTAGAACCACCCCTAGATCCCTTTCTTTGTCAGAATTCTTTAAAGCTTTCTCACATAATTTATAGGTTGTGTGGGGTCTATGTTCTCCAATTCCACATTCTATAACATGGCATTTATTCACATTAAATTCCATTTGCCAAGTGTTGCTCCATATACTTATTTTGTCCATGTCTTCTTGAAGGGCATGACAATCATCTAGGTTTCTTATCTTCCCTATTATCTTAGCATCATCAGCAACATGTTCATGTAATTCTGTATTCCCACTGGTAGATCGTTTATGTAGACAATGAACATTATTGGTGCAAGAACTGAACACTGTGGTACTCCACTCGTGACATTCCTCCAATCCGATACCTTGCCTCTGATTACGGCCCTCATTTTTCTGTCAGTTAGGAAATTTTTCATCCATGTTAGTAGCTTACCTGTCACTCCTCCAATATGTTCCAGTTTCCAGAACAACTTCTTATAGGGAACTCTGTCGAAAGCCTTTTTTAGGTCCAGATAGATGCAGTCAATCCAACCTTCTCTTTCCTGTAAAATCTCTGTGGCTCGATCATAAAAACTGAGTAAGTTCTTTACACAGGATCTTCCAGATCGAAAACCATACTGTCTGTCTGATATTATATAAAGGAATTGATTCTAAGGTGCCTGCATTTCGAGAATAATGCAAATGAGGACAGACACGACAGAATGTGGAAGGTACGGAAGGTGTTCAGTGACATGAGAGGGAAGTTCAGGGATTATTTTGTACCTGCACAAAATTTAGTAATCGACGAATTGCTTGTACTGTTCAATGGGCGACTGGCATTCAAGCAGTACATCACATCAGAGCAGCACTGTTTTGGACTGAAGTTTTTCGTGCTGTGCGATTGTGAGACTGGTATGGTCTTGGACATGATTTTGTATTCTGATACAGACGACATACCAGCTCATGACCCACACGGGTTCTCTGGCAGTGTCGTAAAAACCCTGATGGAACCGTTGCTGAACAAGGGGCACATACTGTTCACCAACAACTATTACACCAGTCTCTTGTTGACTAGATACCGCCTTGCCCACAACACTGGCGTATGTAGCACTGTGAAGGCCCACAGGAAGGAAATGCCAGTGTTTGACATTGGTATAGCAGTGGGTGACTGCCAGCTACGCAAGTGTGACAATATGCTGTCAGTGCGGTGGAAGAACAGATGCAAGGTGAATATGCTGACTATGATTCACACCGGTGCCATGTTGGACAGTGGCAAAGTCCACTTTCAGACGCACTTCCCCATGTATAAACTAGACTGTGTCAAAGACTATAATGTGAACATGTGCCTTGTCAATAAATGTGACATGATGCTTGATGCAGTGGAGTGCGTGCACAAGTCTGTGAAGTGGACGAAAAAGTTCTTCTTCCACCTAATAGATATTGCAGTGCTCAACTGCTTCAATATGTACCTAGTAAAATCTGGCAGGAGACCGCCAATACGTACATTCAGTGCTGGTGTTGTGTCACAACTGCTAGTAAAGTATGGTAAGGAGGGCTCCGTTGCACCGCGCATGGTGCAAGCAACAATGCCACACACAGCTCCAGACAGACTGAGGGGTAACGAGAATTTCGGAGTACACATGCTCGAGTATATGCCAGGCACAGCATCACGGGAGAAGGGTAAACGTGCGTGTATAGTATGCAGGAACACTACCCGCAGAAAACAAAAGTGTAGATGCATCAGCACCTGGTGCGTGGAGTGCAAGGTGCCACTATGCCCCGTTGGCTGTTTCGCAGCATATCACACACTTGCGGAGTTCTGAGTGTGTTTATGGTGTGTGAGACTGTATAGTGTGTATATAGACTGTAAATATAAATATATTAGCATGATACATTGGAAATATGTGCAGGATAGGTAAACACATTTGTGATGCACATAACACTGTCTACAGACAGTACAGATGTTCTACTGCCATAATATAGTGTACATGTTCATTATACACAAGATTGGCACGTAAAAACACATAAATTGTATTTGGAACTGTGCACAGAAAATGAACAAAAATATATTCGCGGCAGTGCCCGCATCCTGCCCCGGGCACCCTTCTGGCCCCGGGAGCGTATGCTACGGGTGAACGGGGAATGACGATGTCACGCGCCAACTTACGGACCCCATAGCAGCCAAAGTAAGTACAATTTCGACCTTCTGTTACTGTACCCATACTCAGGGAAGGGTTTTTGACACTTTCAAAACAAAAAAGAATTTTTTCCAGAGAATTTATTTCCTGCTCACTGGGGGGGTGCCATATTTGGCAGCCGTGCAGTTGAGGGGTTAAATTATAGCTTTGATTTATAGTGTGCGTGGAAATTTAAATTATGATGGTTGTGGTACAAAAACTTGCAAATATGGTAATTTTTGGATAGCCCCTATAAAAACTCTGCTTATCTAAATGTCTGGTTAATCAGGTGAGGAGTCCTTCCCATATACATAGTCTGGATAAGTGAGCTTAGACAGTACATATTACTGTATAGCTAAAAAAAAAATTCAGTTTTCTGGAATTTGGTTTTTCATGCAAATTTGTATCAGGTCCAGACCCATATAATCTGGATTTTTAAGGTGATACTGCACTCGGTACTCATATTATGTACATAATCAATATATTCTGATCATCCAAATTATGCTGAAGTGCTTACTGTGGTCTTGTGATTTCAAGAGAGCGGTAGTGGTGTCGTGAATGATGAGAGGTATCATCATGTAAGGAAGCTGTTCTCCGAAATATTCTATTTTCTCTGCCATTCCCCCCTCTGGAACTATTTACACCACTACGACGACTCTCAGGACTCTGTTGAAGAAACAAAAAATAATAAAAACATCTTTGGTTACACTGCTCATTCCACAGAAATTACACTAACTTCTAACAGATCAAAATACTACCAGAAACAAAGAAACTAAAATTAATAACTTCATTAACTACTGGACTGTGCCGGCTGAGAAAATTCAATTCGTGGGAAACCGCACAAGCCGAAAAAATACCTTTCTGAGGGAAGCCCCTACGGCTCCCTGGAGCTTATCAGGCTAATGTATGTTATATTAGACCGGGACATTAGCTAAGGAGTTCAGACCTACCAGGGACCAGCGCCAGAACCTGGCCCCTTCAGAGAGAGGCCTTCATAATCTCTCTCATGGCCATTATGAGGCCCTCTCGTTTGTCATCCAGTTCTTCCTTTGTCATGTGTTGCTTGATGGTGGGCTGTAGGCATTTAAAATTATCAGCTTATCTTGATTCCAGATCTGCAATGCCATTATGTCAATATCTTGAAGGTTTTTAATTATTAATTCTCTTACCTTCAGGTGTTCTTTCGCCAGCACAACCACTCCTCCTCCCTTCCTAGTTTTCCTGTCACGTCTCCAAAGTGAGTAGCCCCTTGGGAATACGACTTTATTTAAAATATTTTCAAGTTTCGTCTCTCTTAATGCGACAGTATCTGGGACTTTGAGCTTAATTATATCCTTCAACTCCAATATTTTCGATCTCACTCCATCTATGTTGGTATATACTTTTTCAGGAACATGTTCCCCTTCCCTTTGTTCTTTACACCCCCTTCCTTTAATGATTTTGTTGCTTTGTCTTTATGTACCATTTCACAAGCTTTCCAGTCCCTGACACTTTGTAGAAAAAAGAATTCCATTCTTCTTCATTTCTATCCCCCATTTAGACGTTTCACTTCAATGAGCTTCATTTTCAGTTTCACACATATATTCACATGTGTGTGAATATAGTGAGTTACTGTGTAAATAATGAGTGAAACTGTACATATTGTAATTTTAGTGAATTGTTAACAAGTAATATTGTAACAATAAACATTTATTGTGGACACATTATTGACACATGTATCACAGTTCCATGGAACATTATGAACATTCTACTGTACACATTGTAAAAGACAAATATGCATCATATGCGATAAAAAAAATAAAACCGGTCTGGAAATACATGGAACAAATAATTGAAAATATATTTGTGGCAACTCGTGGCATTGAATGGCCTGCGCGACCGCCTTGTGGGAGCTTCATACACAGGTGACCAGCCTGTGATACTCCCTTCTCCATGTACCCACAGCCAAAGTAAGTGGATTTTTTACATTTTTTTACATGTACATATTTAGGAAAGAGAATTTATCAATTTACAAAGATAAAAAAAAAAATTGCAAAAATCTGATTCTATGTGCACAGGGGGAATGTCACAATAAACTCGGCGCATCACAGTGGTTAAGCAAATATGTTAAGAGATTCTCAAATTGTCATTTGAAAAATAAAAAGGGGTAACACCAAAATTGACATTTGAAAATACAGTGGCAAGAAATCATAACAAGTAAAACAGCACAAAGTAGCGCAAACACCAATCAATAAGTCTTACCTGATCCGAGTCCATTTGGGACGGTGAAACTGAAGTGTGCTGATGCTGCTGCTGTTGTAGAAGTGCGAGGATATGAGCAATATCTGATGTCACATGAGCAATATCTGATGTCATACGCATCTCCAAATGCTGCATTTGTCTGGAAGGAGTAAAAGAATAACTATATATCAATTAGATTTACACGACAAACAAATATTCAAGCACATTGCATTTCTTCCCTGCATTTAATAATTACATGACATATGAAAGCATTTAGAATGTATGATGCAAATTATATTATCTTCCAATTACTTTTCTACAGTTATTTATATAACTATAAAAGCTATAATGTTGCGATTTTTTTGGAACAGTTAAACAAATTGCAAAATGAATTTAATGTTTTTGAAGTGCTTGAATATCTTTACACTAATATTTGTCATACCTGCTAAACTGGTCCATTCTAATGTATAGGCGAAGAACATCATCTTTAAAGTCATCATCATCATTCCCATCATCCTCAACATCTGTGTAAACAAAGATGACCATGCACTAAAAAAAAAAGCACACACATTGATCTACAGCAAAAGGAAGAAGAAGAATGTAAAAACCAAGTACTGAATGTAACAAAACACCTCTTTTTAGTGGGCCCTCAGTAGCTCATGGAGCTTATGCACTGGTACAATACAACTACATTTTGGAATCTGTGCATGTCTTTAATAACACATGCATGTGTTTAATGTGTTCACATGCATAACGTAAATGTGATGTAGTTACAGGATGAGATTTATAATTATGATAGTGTGCCTTCCCTATAATCTTTATCAAATGAAGTTTTGAAACTTTTGATGGTTTTGGCATCCACTTCTTATTTAAAATATTCCAACTATCCACAACTTTGTTTGAAAATTGAGAACTTTATTCTTATTTTCAAACCTTTGCTTTCTTTGCTTGAATCTATGGATTATTATTCTTGAGGTTGGATGTTTAAAAAACCAGCACTGAATGTAATGAAATGCCTCCTTCTGGAAGAGCCCCAGTGGTTCCCTAAAACTGAAGGTCATATGAGTCATGGAAGTTCTGTTTGGCCTACAGATACCAGAGCCAGAACCTAGCCTTCTCACATAGATGTAGGAAGAGAATGAGGGGGCCCAGATTCTGGCTCATGATTCTTGGTAGGCCAATTGAACTCTGCAACTGATAGGACCTAATAGCATGACATACTATCAGAGATAGTAGCTATAGGTGAGCCCGGACTGGCATTTCATTCCATTCAGTGCTGATATTTTTAACCTTTGTACTGTGTTAGTTAAACCCCTTCTGTTGCTATGGTATTAACCACTGAACTGCTCTTCCTCCAAATATTGCAACCCCCTGGTGTGCAGGAAATAAATTCTTTCTAAAAAATTATTTTCTCTTCTTATATTGTTAAAATGCAGTCTCTGATCACAGGAAACTAAAAAAACCAGCATTGGATGTAATGAAATGCCATTTTCTGGGTCAGACCCAGAGGAACCCCGGAGCTTACTAGGCTGATATGCTAATGACAGACTTTGGCATCAGTCATGTGTATGGAGTTCTGTGGGCCTACTGGAGACCACGAGCCAGAACCTGACCCCCCTCAGAGAAATATGGGGAGCAATAACCTATAGAAACCCTCCATGTGGTTGGAAGCATTCTGTCTGCCATCGACCGGGTCAGGCACCCAGAAAGGTAAGCATCCCAAAACAAACCCCTATTCTGGTGAAAATATTGCTACCAAGAGCCAAACAAGTGGATATAACTCCCCTAAAAGAAACGAGCAAACGAGCACAACATCACATGTCGCCACGCCGCCGTCTGCGCAGCTTCCCCCCTCCTTGGGAGGGGGAAGGGGAAGCCCAAGAGTCCCCCCCGCCGGATATCCATCCATCAGTTCTGAGGCGGGATATCAAAACACGCGAAAAAACGCCGACCAGAGGGAAGGAGGAATGCCGGGGAACCTCCGGGTCTCACCTAGAAAAGGGAGTTTCATTACATTCAACGCTGGTTTTCTGGGGGGAGAGCCTTTGGCTCCCCGGAGCTAAGTACCCACAGGAAAGTAGAGACTTACCTGGGAGGCAGTTGCTGCTCACTCCTCAACCCGAAGTTGAGACAACTGGCTGCAGTTGGAAGCCGTGCCAAAGCGACACAGGCCTGACTAGGCCCAGGAACATTCACGAGATAACGAGCAGCCAGGATCCTGTTCGACCGCCAAAATCCCCGCGCGCTAGAATGTCAGCCCAAGACATGTTGCCAAATACTGCGGCAAGAGCAGCGAACTTGCGAACGTCATGGGCACGGGGATAGACTGCAGGCTGGCTAGCCTTAATAATCCTGCAGACGACCTGGGAGACCCACACCCGCAAACAGGGAAGAAGGGAAACCGGATCAACCCAAAGCATGTCCCCGGACACAGAAGCTGTGGCGCGCAAATAATAGCAAAGAGCCACAACCTGACACAAAACACGATGCACCCCCGGCCTGACCAACCAAGCATCAAAAACCCTGGGACTGCTCCAGAAAGCAGCAGTCTCATTCTTCACCAGAAAAGGAGGAGATGGCTGCAAACGAACAAAACCATCACGAAGACCGAAGGAGCAGAAACCCCTGTGCCGGAGGAGAGCATGAAGCTCCCCAACCCGACCCCCCAGAGGCTAATGCCATCAGAAAAAGAGCCTTGAAGAAACAATCCTGAAATGAAGGGACCACAACAAACCGAGGAGAAGAAAGAAAAAGAGAGCACTCTGTCCAAAGATCAGAACGGTCTTGAGCAGGCCGAAGGAGAAACAATGCACGAGACAGCTTGGAAACGGCACAGAAGTAACATCAATACTGAAAGCAAGCTGAAGTGGCTCCGCCAGCACCGCACCACTGATAAGCAGCACATGGTCAAAGGAGGAGCTAGATAGTAAAAGAGAAGGTCTTATAACAATAATGAGAGAGATCATAGCGAGAGCGGAAAACAATAGTTCACGACTGTTGATAGTCGGCGACTTCAACTTGAAATACATAGACTGGGAAGCATACGAAGCTAAAACAGAAGATTTCTGGACCTGTAAATTTGTAGACCTCATCCTGGAAACATTCTTGTATCAACATGTTAAACAAGCTACGAGGATGAGGGAAGGGGACGTTCCCTCCATGCTAGATTTGATATTTACCAGGAAGGAGGAAGAAATATTTGACATTCAGTACCTTCCTCCCTTGGGTAAAAGTGACCATGTCTTTTGGGAATAAAGTATGCAATGTGTTATAATCTGGAAGAAAATATGAAGGTTGATGCAATTGAAAAACCTGACTTTAGGAGTGGACATTATGGCAACCTTAGAAATTTTTTTAGTGGGTATAATTGGACAGACTTGTTGCTAGGCAAGGAAGTGAATGAGATGTATGTCAAGTTTTGTGAAATATATGATGAAGGCACAAAGAAATTTATACCAAAACAGAGAAGCAGAACTAGGAAACAGGATTGGTTCAACAGAAAGTGCAAGAGGGCCAGAGACCAAAAGACACAAAAATGGAATCAATACAGGAAGAGGCCGAACCCCCAAACATACCAGCGATACAAAGATGCGAGAAACAACTACACGGCAGTGAGGAGAGAGGCAGAAAGAAATTTTGAAAAAGGGATTGCAGACAAATGTAAAACAGAACCAGGTCTATTCTATAAATTCATAAACAACAAATTGCAGGTAAAGGATGATATACAGAGGTTGAAAATGGGAAATAGATTCACTGAAAATGAAAAGGAAATGTGTGAAACATTAAACGAAAAAGTTCCAAAGTGTGTTTGTACAAAATGAAATCTTCAGGGAACCAGATACAATAAGAATTCCAGAGAACAACATAGAGCACATAGAGATGTCTAGAGATGAAGTGGAAAAAATGCTCAAGGAGCTAAATAAGAACAAGGCAGTTGGTCCAGATGGAGTTTCACCATGAGTTCTGAGAGAATGTGCACCTGAGCTCAGCATTCCTCTTCAACTGATTTCTCAGGCATACTTGTTTACAGGAGTTGTAGCTGATGTGTGGAAAAAGGATAACATAGTTCCAATCTACAAAAGTGGCAACAGGGAAGACCCCCTTAATTATAGACTGGTATCATTGACAAGTGTAATAGTCAAAATATTGGAAAAAATAATTAGAACTAAATGGGTAGAACACCTGGAGAGAAATGATATAATATCAGACAGACAGTATGGTTTTCGATCTGAAAGATCCTGCGTATTGAATTTACTCAGTTTCTATGATCGTGCAACAGAGGTATTACAGGAAAGAGATGGTTGGGTTGACTGCATCTATCTGGACCTAAAAAAGGCTTTTGACAGAGTTCCACATAAGAGGTTGTTCTGGAAACTGGAAAATATTTGAGGGGTGACAGGTACGCTTCTAACATGGATGAAAAATTTTCTGACTGATAGAAAAATGAGGGCAGTAATCAGAGGCAATGTATCGGACTGGAGAAATGTCACAAGTGGAGTACCACAGGGTTCAGTTCTTGCACCAGTGATGTTTATTGTTTACATAAATGATCTACCAGTTGGTATACAGAATTATATGAACATTTTTGCTGATGATGCTAAGATAATAGGAAGGATAAGAAACTTAGATGATTGTCATGCCCTTCAAGATGACCTGGACAAAATAAGTATATGGAGCAACACTTAGCAAATGGAATTTAATGTTAATAAATGTCATGTTTTGGAATGTGGAATAGGAGAACATAGACACCACGCAACCTATATATTATGTGAGAAATCTTTAAGGAATTCTGATAAAGAAAGAGATCTAGGGGTGGTTCTAGATAGAAAACTATCACCTGAGGACCACATAAAGAATATTGTGCGAGGAGCCTATGCCACACTTTCTAGCTTCAGAATTGCTTTTAAATACATGGATGGCGATATACTAAAGAAATTGTTCACGACTTTTGTTAGGCCAAAGCTAGAATATGCAGCAGTTGTGTGGTGCCCATATCTTAAGAAGCACATCAACAAACTGGAAAAGGTGCAAAGACATGTTACTAAGTGGATCCCAGAACTGAAGGGCAAGAGCTACGAAGAAACTGGAAGAAAACTGCCAAAACTGGAAGACAGAAGAAAAAGAGGTGATATGATCACTACATATAAAATAGTAACAGGA